GAGAGAGAAAGCGGGGAGAGAGAGAGAGAGAGTGCGTGTACTTCATCGCTTCGTTTTTGGACTTGCCGTTTCGCGAATTCCTTACCTTACCGTGCCTATTAGCTGTTCATGAAACTGTAGAAGATCTTAAGGAGAGGCTACATCAAACGACTTTCACGTGGTCGTTTTGCGATCCGAATTTTGTGCCTAATCCACCCCGTATAAATGAATGCTCTGTTGTTCCTCGTTTTTAATGCACAGGTTAATTGTATCGACAAGTATATTACCACGGCCACTACTAACAATTGTAAACTGTCTATCAGGCGCAACGTCGCCAATAACGGCACGACGACGATGAGTCCATTTTTCTTCTCTTTTCGTTTCATCGCTCTTACTATCGATATTCCCTTTGCATCTCTATTCGTGGCATGCAATGATAGTTATGCAGAGGACACGATAAAATAGAATTTAACGCGTAACTGTTCCAACTAATTTATGGTAATACGTGGAAAATTTCATTAGAAAAATGAAAAAGTCAAAACACGTTTACATTAGACGTTCCGGGATAAGCAAACCTCGCCTGTTCTCAGTTCTTCAAACGCTTTTGATATTCACGAGAACTTACAATTAGAGGACGCGTAGAATAAATGTTTATTCGAAGCCTCTCCTTTGCACCATAAATTATTATCTTTTTATATACCTGTATTCGACATAGTTACCGCTTTGGAAGCATCATATGATAGTAGTATGAAAGCTTAATCAAAGAATCAGGGACAACATAACCACAGCCTATCGATAATATGAACGAGATAATTCGATAATACGAATGTAGAAAGGTAAATAGGATGAAATAACGCGTACGCATAATGAGCATAATCAGCATAATGAGCGTAATGAGCATAACGAGCATAATGAGCAGGTATAAAAGGAAAAAAGGATGTCGATGAAAAAAGAAATTCTTTCCACCTACTTTTATGCTGTTCAGTTTTTCACGTGTCAAGAAATTAATTCGAGCTTTCAATTCATGTTCAACGATGGTCCCCTCGTCGTTGCGATTAAAAATCAATCTTCCCGCTGTGTGTAAACGTCTACTCGTGTATAGAGATAAACGACTATGTGTGTACAACGGCAAGAGTACTATAGATAGAAATTATCCTTGTCGTGTTTCTATAAGATTCGTTTCTAGGTAATAGAGATTCGAACGTAATGGAATGGACGGAACGACAACGACAGCGACAAAACAGCAACACCGACAAATATCATAAAGAAAAGATACCTTTCGATATCTTAATACGGACCGCTATGGAACGTTATTCCAGTCCGCTAGTTATACCGGAGATAAGCGAATAAGCAAAGAAAGAAAACTATTCAAAGGAACTATGATGATACCTTCTTGATAATTTCTCAAAGAAAGTTAAATATCGAAAGAATATGATAGAATGGGCGATAAATAAAATTATACAACATCCATCCAATGGACAAAGTCCACGTTCGATAATCGTATCGGAGCGAACATTTCTCTTTTCCGACGTTCAGCTTTATAAGCCGAACGAGAACGAGACAACTTAAACGGAAAATAGAATTGCTCGTTCCTCTGATAAATCCGTTTATAGGTATTTTTTAGACGACCGAATAACTTCATTTGCGACAAGCGAAATATCACTTCCCAGAGCGTACACCGTTTTAAAATTAGACCAAACAGCAATCGTGGTGTCGCACAGATGATTAGAGATTGTACGAGAGGTATTCCAATTCCACCAACTCGTTTGTTTTCTTCCTTCGTCTCGAATCTGGTAAAATGTGATGCTTTCGAAATACGCACGTATTTACTCTGAAAGAAAATTTCGGTATTCGACGTATCGCTCCCTATTTTACTTGTATTTTAAAGGCAAAGACTGTAAAGAAGAAATGATGCAATTGAACCAAAAAATCGATAACGGTTCAATTTTTTGTACTTATTTACGGGATGTCGGTGACTTTACAATTGCTCCAAGAATACCATATTTTGTGTGTAACGATTACATTGGTAATCATAATAAAAGTTATGAAAACTATGTAATAGTTGTGATAACGGTGTGCGATCGTGACGATGATTATGGCGACAACAATGACGACAACATTCGCAACATTGACGTCGTTCAAGTAAACGTCAATGCGAACATCAACACCGATGATGACGAATACACCAGAGATCGCTTATTATGATGGTAATAATTATTATAATGGCGATGGTAATAATGATGCCGATAATAATGTCGATAATGATGCCGATAATGACGATTAATGACAGTGACAATAATGACAATAGCGATAAAGACAGTGATGTTAACAACGATGACAATGACGACTACAATGACAGAGACGATGACAATCGTAATAGCAACGACGCACGACGACGACGATGACGACGATGATAATAACAATAACGACGATGACGACGACGACGACGACCACCACCACCACCACCACCACCACCACCACCACCACGATGACGATGATGACGATGATGACGATGACGATGACAATGACGATGATGACGAAGATGATGATGATTATGATGATGATGATGATGATAATGATGATGATAATGATGATGATGATGATGATGATGATGATGATGATGATGATGATGATGATGACGATGACGATGACAATGACGATGATGACGAAGATGATGATGATTATGATAATGATGATGATGATGATGATGATGATGATGATGATGATGATGATGATGGTGATGATGATGATGATGATGATGATGATGATGATGATGATAATGTCGATGGCGATGAAGATGGCAATAAAGATGGCGATAATAATGACGACGATAACGACGACGATAATGATGATCGTGACGATGATGATGATGATGAATAATAATAATAATGATGATGATGATGATGATGATGTTGTAGAGGAGGAGAAAGATCGTGATGGTAATGACAATGATAACGATAATGATAACAATGTTTGTGAGAATAATTATGAATCTGAAACTATAGACACGACTCGTCAATGTTACATCTTGCAGGCTAACAAAACGAATTTTTCTCTTGCGTAAGTACGAAAGCGAACGTGTTTTTAAGATTTCGTATAGACCTGCTGCTAGTTTAAAATATAGGTATAATCAAAAGAATAAGTAATTCTCTCGTAAGAAACGTAGTTTTGTAGTTTATACGTATTCATGCTCGGATATATGTTACATTTTTAATCGTTTTATGATAGAAATGGGAAAAGAGTAAGGAAAGGAAAGATTTATTTTGTTTATACATATATATATTCGTAATAATAACAAACTAGTAAAATGCTATATTGAAATGTCAAAGGGAATTTCGCTTGACTTATTAAAATCGATATCGCGTCTAATTTTGTATTATTTGAGATGAAAGTTTCGAAAGATTCTATTTACTCGGATTGTTTATTCAGTGAAGTAGGGAGGGGAATTTAAATCACTGTTTCGTCAATCAAATGTCTCGAATATTTAAATAGGAAAAATCAAAGGAAGGTTCGACTGTTACTAAAGGCCTATAATATCGATTATACTTACGATGTGTATTGCACGGATACAACACCGCCATCTCGTAATCATTGATAAATGGGTTCGTAAAAGGAATCAGATAGAGTTACAAAGGCAAACGAACATTCTCCCAATTATGATTGATTTATGACAAATCCGGGTCCAATAAATACTCTATTTAGTATGTAAGCTTTTTGGTACTTGTTTGCAGACTTCTCCTATATACTCGCCGCTTATTTGCCTCCAAAGGTGTATGTATTTATTTAGTAATTTACGCTTTCATTTTTCTTTACATTTGTATGTCTGAATGATAGTCTACATCGATATTTAGATCTACGTACAATGTTCTTTACATCTTGTACATGTGGTAAAATCAGTAAGACAATTATCGATTAAATCATTGTAAATCGTGAATATTTGATAAAGTAGAAGGTTCGAAAATAATTGTATCACGTGGAAAGTTTGGTCTAACGAAAACAATACGTTTGCCGTGTATTATTACTTTTCTTTTTATTATCATTATTATTATTATTGTCATCGTTCTTAATATTATCACTATTAATACTGTTACTACCATTACTACTAAAAGTCACTACGACTACTGCCATCACTACCATTGCCACTGCTATTATTACTACCACCACCACCACCACCACCACCACCACCACCACCACCACCACCACCATCACCACCACTACTACTACTACTATTACCGCTACTATTTTTTTTCTTTATTCTTACTATTTTTCTTGTTTTTCTTTGTCTTCTTCTTCTTTTTATTATTATCATTATTATTATTATCATCCATCATCATCATCATCATAATCATCAACATCACCACCATCACCATCATCACCATCATCATCGTCGTCGTCGTTATCATCATTGTTATCATTATTATTCTTGTTGTTGTTGTTGTTATTTATTATTTATTATTTATTGTTTTATTATTGATTCATAACATTACCATTACGACTATTGCGACCATCATGATTATTATAATCATTATATTATTGTTATGCATCGTTATTATTCCTACTGTTGATAGTCATCATCAATGTATCATTACAGTCATTATCGCTATTATCATTGCGATTATTATTGTTATTGTTATTGATGTTGTTGCTGTTACATTGTTATTTTTACCATCATCATCAGCATGGTTGTATCGTTATTGTCACTTATCGATCATTGATCGTGAACGAGAATACAATTGCTTGAGATGAAAAAAAGAAAAACTGAAAACGTATAGGCGCGTTAGCGATAAATTATGTACCTATGTATTTATGTATTATTTATTGACAATTATTAACGACCAGCTGTTTAGGTAGGATATTAAAATTATGAAATTAAATGTAACGAAAGCGAATGAAACGGCTAAACAGACACGGCTATTAACATTGGTGAAACTAAGCGAACGATTAGGCATACTTGCCCGACAAGTTGACGAAAATGAGAAAAAGGAAGGAACGAATTTAGATTAAAAGGATGGTGAATATAAAAGTTAAGAACGAGCTTTCATTAAAACAGTTTAGATTAAATATAAAGATGAACAAAAAAAGTATATATACACATGCAAACATACACAAACACGCGACACACACACACACACACACACACACACACACAAATGCGCGCACGCGCGCGCGTAAAGATGTGCGGGTGGGGGGGGGAGAGAGAGAGAGAGAGAGAGAGAGAGAGAGAGAGAGAGAGAGAGAGAGAGAGAAAGTGTGAGGACGATAAAGATAAACATTCAGTGCACGCGTATACGCGCGCGAACGCAAGTATGGGCACACACGAGTACATACAACACATCAGATACATACGAAGATATATAATATATGAATGCAAAGACAAAGGAAGAAATAGAAAGAAATTTAATTGCGGGAAAGGGAATGGGTATACAAGAATGATAAAGTGCGAACCTCGACACCTGTACGAACCCCAAAATCGCGGTGCTTAACGGGTGTGAGAACGGTGATACGGTTTCATTTCAATATCGACTTAAAAGTGTCGTATGATGTATCGTACGTCTTATACGTATCCGACACTTGAGCGTATCGGGGTAAGAGAACCCCAGCATGTATTCTTTACATTTTGCTAGTTTGAAAGATATATATGGATGGATATATATATATATATATATATATCGGGAAAACAAGCGGTGCGATAAGACATGATAAATTAAAGTTTGTTTACTCCGCCCGAAATATCGGATACGCTAATGATCTAGTCAGAAAAATCTCGATTCCTAATATTAAAATCATCTAGTCATTCTTCTTCACAGTCGATCTTCTGCCGTTAAGAGACTGCGTCGCAGACATAAGACAAGTACAGTTTTTCATAATTGTATTTATTATACAAATCGCGGTTCTCACCCCTTGAAGCGCATCAGCGCGTCGTGTTTTTCGAATAACGAATTAAAAACTTACTGTGGAGTGTTCATGGTGCTATGATTACTATTATTTCTACGTTAAAAATGATTTTTCCTCTGTTAATCTTAAGACTTATCGTTTATCAGATTCTCTTATGGTCTTGCATCGACTTTATTAACAATTACATCCTTTACCGTGATCTAGTGTTATCGTATGTTACCATCGACATCTTATTAATTATTAAATAGTAACGTATATCAAATTAGATCTGTCATCGTACAACGATTTATCGATCTTTGTTTCAGATCGAAAAATTTCTTTATCGCATATTAAGAAAGTAATCCATAAAACATGGTAAGTCGATCTTCTTAACTCTAACATGGTAACATAGAATCCGCGCCTTTTTTAAATAGCTTGCAATTACGTTACCAATTCGAACTAATCGAAGGTGAAATTTTTCATTTCTTTCCTTCGTTTGTAGAAATTCCGATTTTTAGGCGATGGAGATTGTCCGGATTGGCTGCTTGCCGAAATTAACACGTTGTCGCGTATGGTATGTATTCGTTGTTTCTCCTCTCTGCGGTATTACGCTCGTTTTTTCTTCAATGATTCTCACCTACATGATTTTTACCTACCTTAGTAACAGAGATAATCCCGTCGTTGGTAATGAAATGAACGCCGTGGCGCGCCGTTGTCAATGATTCGACCGAGCTAGTGTATTTTCCTTGCTATTTCATATCAAGCGGAATCGGTTTCCCTTTTCCTATCGTATATCGTATATCGGTACACTTGTCCGTGCATATATGCGATTATCCGCGAGCGTATATGCGATTATATAAATAATACATACGTTTACCATCGATTCTTTTTTCCAGACATCTATTAAAATCAAAATACTAGGTCAAACGGTTGCAAAGTATCTTACGGAAGGAGATCTCGATGTAAGTATCCATCTATTTCAAATCGATCGTATAAGGCTAATTTGAATTTGAAAGTAACGATAGAAGTAACGATAGAAGAATATATAAGATGCAATTTATTTGAAAGAAATATTCGAGGATAGATTCGACAGTGAAAATGTAACACGCAGATATAACGATTCCTTTCGAGCTTTATCACGTTCGTTTCTCGTTTTCCCTGATATTCGTTGCTTCGTTATTCGTTCTGATTGAAAGACAGAGCTTTCGGAAAGACGAGCTTACTCTATTAATTTCGATGCATTTGCCGTTTCTTTCTTCTTCTTATTTCTTCTTCTTTACAGGAAGAGAAGGTGAAAAAAATTACTCTGGATGCCAAGCTTGGTAAGCTACAATTAAGCTACAGATTAATCGTATCACGTAGCAAAGTTGCACATGCTCGGCCCATTGTTTTCCCGTTTGCTATAAATCTTTTCACTTTTATACTTCATTTATATTTCAATTTCGTATTCGTTTTAAATTTATTTTCCTTCCTACGTTTATCTTATATTCTCTTTCTTGCGCCCTTCGTGGAGAATCGAATGATGCAAAAGCTATGGTAGCAGCTCTTGAGTTGATATTTACATCCTCTGCTCGATATGGTGTTTCCGCTGCGGATTTAAGCAGCGAATTACAACAGCTTGGTCTTCCTCGTGAACATAGCGCTGCAATTGCCAGGCTGCACACCGATCATTGTCCACAGATTACGGCTACGCTTTCTTCGCAATCTTTGAGAGGTAAGAAAATATCGAAATTACCACTAAGTTTATAGAAATTTTATTAAACGAAACGTACTGCGATTCTCGGTGTCGATTTCGCGTGTCGTGTGTCGTATGGTAGGTAAAACTATGCGAATAAATGTTATAGAGATGACACGCGTATATGCGTTTTTGTATTACTTTCAGTGAGCAGATTATCATCGATCGAAGTTTTGTCTCGCGATAATGCTTCACCGTTCTCCACGGTGTCCCTAAAATTGAAGAAATTGGACGGGAATATAGAGAATTCCATCATCAGTATCTCGAAGAAAGATGTACAGGTTCTATTGACAGGTAAAAATCGGAAATTAACACGCCCAATGGTAACAGTATAAGCATTATCCTTCCGTTTATCCGATTTCGTTTTTTCCAAAGAACTGCGCAGAGCCAAGTCGTTGATGGAGAACCTTTAAACATTCCTCGTCCGTAAGATCACGTATTATGCACTGATACGCCAAACGTTATTATTTCTTATTCTTAAGCATAGTGTAAACCATCTAATAAAGATAATAACGATGTACAAGTAAATGTACAAAGTAAAGATATTTCGTTCACATTTTATCTTCATCCATCCCTTAACGCGTCTATTACCTTCTGATAGAAATCGATATTTCACCATCATAAAAGCCACAGGAAGAAAGAAATTTAAGTACAAGAGAATTATTGTTAAGGTATAATGTATATTTATTATATTATCATTTTTGTCATATAGCATAACATTGTTATTTCTATAGTAATAATAATAATTATTATAATTATAATTATAATTATAATAATTATTATTATTACTATAGAAATAACAATGTTATGCTATATGACAAAAATGATAATATAATAAATATACATTATACCTTAACAATAATTCTCTTGTACTTAAATTTCTTTCTTCCTGTGGCTTTTATGATGGTGAAATATCGATTTCTATCAGAAGGTAATAGACGCGTTAAGGGATGGATGAAGATAAAATGTGAACGAAATATCTTTACTTTGTACATTTACTTGTACATCGTTATTATCTTTATTAGATGGTTTACACTATGCTTAAGAATAAGAAATAATAACGTTTGGCGTATCAGTGCATAATACGTGATCTTACGGACGAGGAATGTTTAAAGGTTCTCCATCAACGACTTGGCTCTGCGCAGTTCTTTGGAAAAAACGAAATCGGATAAACGGAAGGATAATGCTTATACTGTTACCATTGGGCGTGTTAATTTCCGATTTTTACCTGTCAATAGAACCTGTACATCTTTCTTCGAGATACTGATGATGGAATTCTCTATATTCCCGTCCAATTTCTTCAATTTTAGGGACACCGTGGAGAACGGTGAAGCATTATCGCGAGACAAAACTTCGATCGATGATAATCTGCTCACTGAAAGTAATACAAAAACGCATATACGCGTGTCATCTCTATAACATTTATTCGCATAGTTTTACCTACCATACGACACACGACACGCGAAATCGACACCGAGAATCGCAGTACGTTTCGTTTAATAAAATTTCTATAAACTTAGTGGTAATTTCGATATTTTCTTACCTCTCAAAGATTGCGAAGAAAGCGTAGCCGTAATCTGTGGACAATGATCGGTGTGCAGCCTGGCAATTGCAGCGCTATGTTCACGAGGAAGACCAAGCTGTTGTAATTCGCTGCTTAAATCCGCAGCGGAAACACCATATCGAGCAGAGGATGTAAATATCAACTCAAGAGCTGCTACCATAGCTTTTGCATCATTCGATTCTCCACGAAGGGCGCAAGAAAGAGAATATAAGATAAACGTAGGAAGGAAAATAAATTTAAAACGAATACGAAATTGAAATATAAATGAAGTATAAAAGTGAAAAGATTTATAGCAAACGGGAAAACAATGGGCCGAGCATGTGCAACTTTGCTACGTGATACGATTAATCTGTAGCTTAATTGTAGCTTACCAAGCTTGGCATCCAGAGTAATTTTTTTCACCTTCTCTTCCTGTAAAGAAGAAGAAATAAGAAGAAGAAAGAAACGGCAAATGCATCGAAATTAATAGAGTAAGCTCGTCTTTCCGAAAGCTCTGTCTTTCAATCAGAACGAATAACGAAGCAACGAATATCAGGGAAAACGAGAAACGAACGTGATAAAGCTCGAAAGGAATCGTTATATCTGCGTGTTACATTTTCACTGTCGAATCTATCCTCGAATATTTCTTTCAAATAAATTGCATCTTATATATTCTTCTATCGTTACTTCTATCGTTACTTTCAAATTCAAATTAGCCTTATACGATCGATTTGAAATAGATGGATACTTACATCGAGATCTCCTTCCGTAAGATACTTTGCAACCGTTTGACCTAGTATTTTGATTTTAATAGATGTCTGGAAAAAAGAATCGATGGTAAACGTATGTATTATTTATATAATCGCATATACGCTCGCGGATAATCGCATATATGCACGGACAAGTGTACCGATATACGATATACGATAGGAAAAGGGAAACCGATTCCGCTTGATATGAAATAGCAAGGAAAATACACTAGCTCGGTCGAATCATTGACAACGGCGCGCCACGGCGTTCATTTCATTACCAACGACGGGATTATCTCTGTTACTAAGGTAGGTAAAAATCATGTAGGTGAGAATCATTGAAGAAAAAACGAGCGTAATACCGCAGAGAGGAGAAACAACGAATACATACCATACGCGACAACGTGTTAATTTCGGCAAGCAGCCAATCCGGACAATCTCCATCGCCTAAAAATCGGAATTTCTACAAACGAAGGAAAGAAATGAAAAATTTCACCTTCGATTAGTTCGAATTGGTAACGTAATTGCAAGCTATTTAAAAAAGGCGCGGATTCTATGTTACCATGTTAGAGTTAAGAAGATCGACTTACCATGTTTTATGGATTACTTTCTTAATATGCGATAAAGAAATTTTTCGATCTGAAACAAAGATCGATAAATCGTTGTACGATGACAGATCTAATTTGATATACGTTACTATTTAATAATTAATAAGATGTCGATGGTAACATACGATAACACTAGATCACGGTAAAGGATGTAATTGTTAATAAAGTCGATGCAAGACCATAAGAGAATCTGATAAACGATAAGTCTTAAGATTAACAGAGGAAAAATCATTTTTAACGTAGAAATTAGAAATGTCCGATGAATATGTGTGTGTGTATGTATGTATGTATGTACAAAAGATATTTACGGTTGCGCAACATATTAAACGGGGATGTGCCTTCTTTCTCGAACATAAGAACCTTACAGTACACGTATATTTCACTATGCGGATCCTTCCAAATTTCTATTCGCGTTACATATGCGTAGACTGTAACATACAAACTGTAATACATGATACGTATGCACGTTTGTTTTTCGACGAAATCACGATGACTGACGAATCGCGACGTGTATCTCCGATGCGAGTAAACTCGATATACACACACATACACACACACACACACACACACACACACACACACACACACACACGCTCGCGCGCGCGCGCGCCTAGGACTTAGAAGAGGGTAAACGGTTTGTGATGTAACGTTAAAATATAATATAACATGGCGTACAACATATAGCACGTAGAGTACGGGATATTTTCTTTCGTGACAAGCTCGTGACTAGCGTGAAACGCATTTCCCCTGTTGACGGGGCCAACTTCTCGAGCAACGAATGGAGAAACGAGAAGAAAGAAACGAAAGAAAGCTACACCTCCGATGGTCATCGGAATGTTTGCGTTGGTGGTTGGTCTGGTAAATTGACGCGAGTTACACTGGCAGACCAGGGTAAATTCCCTGTGCAATTCTTCTAATCTCTCGACCGCAACGAGGTCACCGAGAGGATTCGCCAAGGAACCCCATAAATACCGAAGAAACGCTCTTTTCGAATCCATTCCACGCGTTCTACTGGTGCCGCGACGTTCGGATAACTGCTTCGATGGTTGGTCATGTTATAACAGGTATGTCCGTTTAACGTTAATTGTAAAACATCAGGTTTAATAAAAATGGTGATTTATTGAATTACAGCTACGTATACGTTTAAGTGTGTAACAGAGCGTTGTAAATTTGTTTCTAGGAATGAAGAGATTAAATGTTACGTTGGCTATTTTATCGATAGCGACATGCGATATCGATGCGACAAAGGTAAAGGACATTTCTTATGCTAATACTAGGCGAGTCTGATACCCGTCGAAACAATGAAATTGTTCTAAGCGATTAAGTAAAGGGGAAAAAAAGGAAATCCTAATTTTTATCTTCTATCTTCTTTTTTCCATCGATACGCTATTATTGTTTTATTATACGTATTATTGTTCCTCGTTGCATTTCAACGAGCCACGCGCTTCCAAAATTACTCCGATTCGTTACTTGGCTACTTCCTACCGAGATCGAGATAAGGGGAAAAGAGAACGTTGCTTCGCAACGATACGACCAACGATTATTTCTGCCACGTCTAAACGTGAAATCATCCTTTACCTTTTCATACCATCCTTAAATATTTTGTCAATTTTTTTCCAGACAAGCGTAAATAACGGGCTGCCATCTACGCGTCTTTTTCACAAGCAATATTGGTGGAAGGATGAAAGATGTACTCCGCGAGATATCATCTGTTTCGAAGTCTACGAGAACGACGACGACGACGAGGACGACGACAACGAGCAAGACGACGAGAACGGCGACTATTTCTTACGATCGCAACAAGTTATTAAATCGTTGAAATTCACACCTTTTGACACCGTGACCAGCAGGTAAAATCGTTTACATTGTTCGAATTAAAGAATCTCGTCGATTCTATCGATACAGATATATATTCATATGAGATTTACGATGCAGGTACGTGGACACAACGAGTGACAGACAATCGCGGTACGATGCCTCGAATTCGGCGCGTTCCAAACACGAGAGATGTTTCAAAGCGAATCCCATGGTACTCGCATCGTTGGAGAAACGAAAAAAACGAAAACTGTTGGGCAAGAAGGATCATTTTGCATCGTGGTGTAATTCCGAGAAACGTTATCATCGTCGGCAACAAGGTTGGAAAGTACAACCACCGTTTTACGTGGAGGAACCAAGTTGGATCGAGATGGATAACAATTACGCGGAAAAGATTATGGAAAATCATTCGTATCGTGATCATTTGGAAACTATCGACCCTTTCGTTATTACACGGGGTAAGAAGAATCATCTGAACGTTATCCTGGCCGATAGTGGGAAAATGAGGAATTCGAGGACGAAGGATAAAAGGTCGATAGGTTCGGATTCGCGACTCGGACGAGATAAGAATGACGACAAGGTGGATCAAAATGTCAGAGAGGATAATAATAAGAGAGAGGTTGGCAGCGACGAAGATGATCGCGTAGAGAAAAGTTGGAAGAAAGGAAGCGTAGAATGTATCGATGAACCGTTGTTCGCGACAGAAGAAAAGAGGACGTACGATGGAAAAAATAATTATCTTACGACGAAATATTTCGAGACCGATCGAAAGAGCGATCAATTGGGAGGGACAGCAACAGTCTCGCGAGCGATTTACACCGCACCAGGAAAGATATTCCAGTTACCCATCGAATCGAATCGCGTCTCGAGAGATACAAAGGATGAAAAAGACAATTCCGTTTTATTTCGCGTTCGAGCGAAAAGTGACTCGAACTTGGCCAACGGTGACCTCGGTTTATCAAAGGATCCACGATTTATTAAAGATAACGAACAAAGAAATAAACGCTTCGCGATACCGAATAACCTGAGTGTACGAGAATCTTATTACGCGACGAGAGGTAAAAAGACTGACCACCGAATGAACGAAGAAGAAATATTACTCGGGCAACGAAAACCGGAAGTATCGGTATCGATGACGAATAGCTTCATCGTCGGAGAAATATTGGCCAAGATGAAAGAAAATGATTCGAAATGCGGTGTAAAGAAGTGCAACGATCATTTTAGCGAAACGATGAAAAGAACGAAACTCGATGGTAATCTTGGTGATGGAATGCGGGGAATTTTTAAGGATTTATTAACAAGACCTGACCCTTTCTATGTGGCTAGAGGGAAGAGAGAGAGAGAGAGAGAGAGAGAGAGAGAGAGAGAGAGAGAGAGAGAGAGAGAGAGTAAACTAACATCTTCTTTCACCGTAAGTCCTTTCTCTTTTCTATAAGAACCACGTTTCGCGCAACTATCCAAAGTATTTTCGTTCAAAGTACATCATATTTCACCCGCTGTGTTTAACCGTATCGACGCGTACACCTTCCGATTGATTAATCTTTCTAATTAACGCTTAACGGACGGGTCGGATCTGCTCTGCCTTTATCGGTTTCCGGGCATTTTTTATCAGAATTAGATAAACATGCATGTATGGTTTTAAAGCGTTGTAGTTTTATTAAATCAACGTCACTTTTTATAAAAAAAAAATTCCAGCAAAAATGTAAATCTACGTGGCCCGTCCGTTAAATGTTAATTGCTGTTTAACCGATAAAGTTGCTTCTGTTACGGAACGTAATACGTAGAAATGTGCTTCTATACATCGAAATTTTAACATTCGCCAGATGATATTGTGAAAGGAAACAATAACGCGAATACCATCTACAAACGAATAACGTTAAACGTTCCGTACCGACCGAATAAGTCTACTGGGCTATACTAGCGCTATATAGTATTGCGATGTGTTACGCGTAATTTCATCTGTTTCCATCGTTATTGCTTCTCCAACTTTTCAAAGTTCAAAGTAAAATCGGAGAAATGATCACTCGATGTGCTTCTTGTTTCTTTACGCTTGTCTGTTCTTCGTGCCACAAGATGAAAAATTAACGTTTAACGGCGTTGTTCTATGCGTTAGGGTTTTATCGTTATACTAATTTTCACGTTCTTCGTGCTTTACACGTATACGACTATCTTTGAAACAACCAACGCTACCTATTCTACTACGTATGTATGTGTGCAGACACATCAAACGAATGTACGCGCGTAAAATTGCAATGAAATTTCTCCATGTCGATCAGTAGCCGTCTGCCTCGATTATCGCGTAAAGCCACACTTTCGACTCGCCTTCGCGAATATCGATAAGAGAATAAAGAAAAGACTAAAAAAAAATTTTAAAAAAAACATAAAAATAAAAAAAGAAGGAACAACAAGCGTACACTTGATCGATTCTATAATTGATCTCACTTTTGCACGACGCGTATTCTTTCTCTTTCTACACTCCTACCTCGTTTCCTTCTTTCACCCTTTGCCGGAATGTAAAACATTGATCGAAATATTCGCAAATAAATAATAAATTGTGAATATAATATATTTAAATAATATTTTCATAAAACGAGAAAGCACGGTGGTGGCAGGATTTTTTTCAATCACTGCATCGGAAACTACTGATATCCGTTGAGCGTTGAAGTATGGTATTCGTACGAAAGATAAGCAAAAGTATTTACATAACGTGATATGTAACTGAAAGAAATTCATTGAACGTCTTCAACGATATTATTAATTCTTTCGTTACGATGATATAGTTGAAAGAGAAGAAACGTTCTAACAACCAGATGAAATAACCAAAGAATATCTAACCGTGTTAAATCGAAAACAATCGGCAGATGTTTATATTTTTAATTAAAACAAGCGTTGTGTATACTGTTTCATAGTTTATCATTAATACTATTTATCATTAATCGATGTAACCCAAATATTTTACCTGAAACTTTTGTTTCTTTTGTTTTTTTCATCAATGAGAATCGTCGGAAACGTCGGAAACGTCGGAAACGTCGGAAACGTCCGAATCGTCGGAAATTCCGTTCACGCCAATTTATCGATTTAATCCATTTACTGCATATGATGCATTACAATTGGAAAGGTTTCGATTAGGGTCGAATAGCGTAAGGAAGAAACAAAGACGTTTATATCGTGTGAGAAGTAAAATTATTTCGATTTATTGGCGGTCGTCGGGAATGCAAATGGATATTAGATACTGATTCGACGTCTATTTCTATACAACCTGTATCAGGCTACGACGATTGAATTAAATCGAAAAAATATCCTGACAACGATTCGTATATATGTATTCATCGTGTACGAGGAAAAGAAAAAGCACCTGGGAAGAATCTAACAGTGAATATTTTCAGAGGAAAATTTCTTTCGATACCGAACAAGATACCGGACATAAATAGTTTCTGAAAGAACTAAGTACTTCGATGACAGGTTTGAAAGCGTTCGTTAACTGTTTTAACATGCGTGTTGACGAAAATGCACTTTTCTTTCCTCTCTTGGTACAACGCATCGTTCCAAGCATACATATGTATGTATATATTTCGTTACACCCTTCTCTCACGGCTCGAATATGGCTGTTAATGAATATAAAGCGTTTTTCAAAGCTATTATATCCTATTATATCAGAAAATGTTACTGAAATAAAATCTGGAGTTACTGAAATAAAATTAACAAAATGGTTAAAAGTTAGAAAAAAAAAAAAGAAACATCGAATTTTGGCATGTATGTGAAATGAAACTATTTGTTTTAATACTTTTTAACCAATATATTATATATATATCACAATGTTTCGTTATACCTTTATGTGTATGTGTATGCGCATGTGCGTAGAGGAAATAACTATATTTACATGTACTCGAATAGGAACACGGTACACATGTATAATCAACAAGCAACAATTTCCCAGCAACATGAGCAATGCGATTTCGATAGAAATGGACAATTAGCAGATTATTTTCACTAGAGAAAATTATAATGTAATTTATTTTTCTACGTCTTCTATATATTTAGTTCGAACAAATTCGACATTTAGCCTCTCTCCCTTTTGATAATTGGCGTGGTAAACGAGGAAAAGAATATTTTTCATCGAACGTCGTCGACTCACAGAAGAAAGGAATCAAATTTACCTACAAAACCGAGACGCAATTATGAATGGATTTAACAATGTTAACTTCTCCTACAGTATTGCTTGAGACCCGTGGTAAGGAAATTGGACGAAACAAGAATATCATAGGTGAGAGCTGCGGTTCGTAGATAGAACTCAACGTAAACACGAGCCGGGTCAGGCTCGTGGTTAATTTTCAAGCATGTTTTCCTATCTCAGTTGCGTGTTATTCTTCACCTCGTTCGGACACGTGGGAGACAATTGGGAAAAGAATAGAAAAGAAAAGAGGACAATTGGGAGACATTTTAAATATTGTTGAAAAATTTTAATAATTTCTTCGCTCTAGACGTTATCAAAGGTGAGTTACAGGTTAGACATGTTCGAAATCTCTGCTTTATACTGAGAAATTGTCCATCACTAGCGTTAAAAATGATTCGATGTTGTTCGCACTATTTGAAACATCGCATAGTATCGATGCAAATTGAATCGAATTAAATCAACACCAAAATCGAAATTGAAAAATGTGTCGTGTCGTGTCGTGTCGTGTCGTGTCGTGTCGTGTCGTGTCGTGTCGTGTCGTCTCGCGTCGTGTCGTCTCGCGTCGTGTCGTCTCGCGTCGTGTCGTGTCGTGTCGTGTCTCATTGGTCGTTTTATTCTAGTGCAAGTTCCGACTTAAAATAATTTTATGTAGGAACAAAAGTTTAAAACCATATATATTTCGTTTTGAAAATTAATACTTTATAGCGGTTGTGCATTTTATAAGATGTGAAAAGGATAACTTTTTTCTTTGAGTGAAGATAAATAATTGAAAAATGATTATTCTACCCGCGAACAACAACTGATTGAACAAATCTACAAAACGTCAAACAAAATTTTAAAACTGTTTCACACGTTCGTTTTCTTATATTTTGTAAGATCGTACATATGTATATACAAATTTTCTTAGATCTTTTCTAAAGACGTTTATTTGATCTGATGATTATACAGCAAATTACGAGAAAGAAGGAATTCTTTGATACTTGTAATAGCTAATTTTTTAACACGAGATGTATCGTGAAATAAATATTTGATTAATGAAAATTATATCGAAAGTTGTGTAATATATATTTATATGTATACGTAGTTTGAAACTTGATACATATGCATATGCGTGCACGCACGCGTCAATACATATGCACGTGTGTATGCGAGCGCGAGCGCACGCGCGCGCGTGTGTGTATAATATATTAAATATCGTTGTTTAAAATTTCTTTATTTTCATCGAGAATATTGTTTACTTACAATGAGAATCGACGTTTGCAAAGTGACAGCTCCGTGTATACAGGTTAGGAAACGTTCAGCTTTATTACCGCATACGTTAACGGTACAGGTTAGCCAACCATGTAAAGGTACAGCGTATCCAACGACTGTATGTATTTTATTATGATTTAAAATTAATTTAAAATTTTACCGAATTTTGTACGTTTCCGTTATAAAAATAAAGGTAATAAAAGATAATATGCTAATATTATTATGAACGACATTTCGATGGTAGATTAGTATAACATGTATCGTAAAATCTTTTACTGTCATATCTTAACCTTAAATACTTTTATCCGTTTAAAATGCTTTTTTGATATCTGTTGCTGCATCCTACATACATATGAAAGTTATTAATCTTTGTGAGGAAAGAAGAAAAATTTATTTCACTTTTGGTTTTTTATTAAATGATAGAAAAGTTGAAGAATAAGAAGAAAGGGAAAAGAGAAGGAAAATAGAATGAAAGACAAATGAGAGAGAGCAAATTAAGGAAAGAGAGTAACGAAAATGACAAAAATATTTGCAATATTTCCTAATTATACGTGTTCTCTGTTATGCATGGGAAAAGCATTTTACGCTCATAGTTACGTTTGCTTCTGCTTTGTAACTTCTTCTTTGGCAAAAGCAGGCGAATGAAAGTCCAATGAGAAAGAAAAGGGTATTCTTTAACTAGTGTATATGATTCGTATGTACAGTAGGAGTGTATATAATTTGTATCATTCATATAATTCATATAATTGAGAAAAGAGGCAGGTATTAAGACTGGATTCGTTATGAAAACAAATGTACTAGTTAATATAGAATACTTTGACTCGAATAAACAATTGCAACAATTTGAGTAATTGATTAATATAATGCATTGTTTTTATCTATATGTATTTGTTTTCAGTTGTAGGTACATAGATATATTTTATTCGCCGAATGGTAAATGACGTACGTTATGCTTGGCCATGTCTGTGTGTATATTTTCCATCGTTCTTTAATTATGATACGATAATGCAATATTTGATAAGTCGATGTAGCAGCTATGGTATTCTATGTTTTCAATTAAGCAGATAAATGAAATAACTCGTATAGATATTTATTCTTTTCCTTGGCATGCCAGAATTTTGCTTCGCACTTATAAATCACGAATGTAGATAAGTTATTACCAGTGGTAGGATAACAAATGACGGTAATTTTATATTCTGAAAGGTATTTAGAAATAAACCGCGCATTATGAACACCGAAAACTATAAGAAAAGGTGAGTGAGACAAAGTACCGAGTAAATAAAAACACCGTTTAATATAATCGCAACAATCGCATTATTGAATCGATATACTTTGAGGGAAGAAAGATATAAAATAAATTCGATTTTCCGTTTTCCGAATTCCGTTTGATTTGTTGTAGTAAAAAATATTAAAATCAGATTTATGATCTCTTTCTCGTGCGCGCAGTGTCGTTACATTTTCTATGGTTACAAATGAATTAGTAGAACCAACGTGATTTGAGATTTTTACGAGTAGCGTCTCTAAAGAATAATACTAAAAAATTATAGAATAGAATAATACTAAACTATTTTATTCGCTTTACGCGAATTTCGCTTACGTTTGTTGCGATTCGTCGAAGAAAATGTGTGTACGTGTACGGATAAAGAAAAATTGTATCGATGCTGTTCATGAAGTTTCATATTTTTCCGAAATTTTATTCGATATATCGTTGTAAAAACAACTAGGATATGCCGGGACAACTAATTGCATGAAAGACGTGTATGTATACGCATACATATATATCGATGATTTAACATTCAGAGAAAAATAGAATTTTTTATTTGCTTCTATATTATCTATCTGCCTACTTTGAATTGCACGCGAGTCGACGTAACAGTTCAAAGATGTAAATTAGCTTTTCGTGTCAGTATTTAAAAACTAATGGTAAAAACGGATTGGCGAACTAAAAGTGAAATGTATATAATAAGCTTTATGCACTCTTTAAAATATAATCTTTACGAACACGTAATGCGTTGATATACGTAAATATATACATTGACGATGTACGAATTATACCATTGAAAATAAGATCTCGAATAGATAGGGCAATATAATGTTTCGAAATGTACGAAATATATAGGATATAATGATGATAATAATAAGGGTAGTCCGTTGATAGAAATGATGCGTCATCTTTC